TGCACAAATCTGTGCACCAGGCCTCTAGTATGCATATAAGATCTTTGGTTAATCTCTTCCCTCCCTCTCCCCTCCCCCTTCCCTCTGAGATTCATCAGTCTGTTCCATGTTTCCATGCCTTTGTGTTGAGTGTCTGCCCCTGATGGTCATAGCTGGTTGGCCTGTTGGCTGGTCACTTAGGCTTTTATATATATAGACTAGAGGCCCAGTGCACAAAATTCGTGCACAGGGGTGGGGGATTGTCCCTCAGCATGGCCTGCAACCTCTCTAATCTGGGACTCCTCGGGGGATGTCCAACTGCCTAAACCGGCAGTCAGACATCTCTCTCATAATCCGGGACCTCTGGCTCCTAACCGCTCCCCTGCCTGCCTGCCTGATTGCCTCTAACCACTTCTGCCTGCCAACCTGATCGCCCCATAACCTTTCCCCTGCCAGCCTGATTGATGCCTAATTGCTCCCCTGCTGGATTGATTGCCCCAACTGCCCTCCCCTGCCGGCCTGATTGCCCACAATTGCCCTCCTCTGTCGCAACCCACCTCCTCCGCTGGGCCTTGCTTCAACTGTGTGCATGGCCATCTTGTTACGGCCATCTTGTGATGGCCATCTTGTAATGACATTAGGGCGTGATGCATGAGGGTGTGACGACCACGTAGGCTATTATTAGTATAGACTAGAGGCCCGGTAAACAAAAATTTGTGCACTCAAGGGGGTCCCTAAGCCTGGCCTGTGCCCTCTCATAGTCTGAGACCCGAGCAGGCCTAAGCCAGCAGGTCATTATCTCCTGAGGGGTCCCAGAATGAGAGAGGGCACAGGCCGGGCTGAGGGACCCCCCCTTTCCCCCCGAGTGCACAAATTTTTGTGCACCGGGCCTCTAGTTTATTATAATTATGAAAGATTTATGGGAGTGAAATCTGACATTAAAAATGGTCATGATATATGATAGGTAATAAAGAGAGATTATGTATTATACTAGAGGCCCAGCGCATGATATTTTTGCTCGGGAGGAGGGGGGTGGCCCTCAGCCTGGCCTGCACCCTCTCTAATCAGAGACCCTTTGGGGGATGTCTGACTGACAGTTTAGGCCTGCCCCCAACTGCCCTCCCCTACTGGCCTGATTGCCCCCAACTGCCGTCCTCTACTGGCCTGATTGCCCCCAACTGCCTTCCCCTGCTGGCCTGATTGGCGCCATCTGATCTTCACTGCTGGCCTGATTGTGCCCAACTGCCCTCCCCTTCCCACCTGATCTCCCCAACTGCCCTCTTCTGCCAGCCTGATCGCCCACAATTGCCCTCCCCTGCCGCAACCCACCTCCTCCACTGGGCCTTGCTTCAACTGTGTGCATGGTCATCTTGTTACAGCCATCTTATGATGGCCATCTTGTAATGACATTAGGGCATGATGCATGAGGGTGTGACGACCACCTAGGCTATAATTAGTATAGACTAGAGGCCCGGTACACAAAAATTTGTGCACTCAGGGGGGTCCCTCAGCCCGGCCTGTGCCCTCTCGCAGTCTGGGACCCCTCGGGGATGACCACCTGCTGGCTTAGGCCTGCTCCCCGGGGATTGGGCCTAAGCTGGCAA